AGTCAAGGCTAGGGGTGTATGCAGGTAGTGGAACATGCATTCCGAATCTATGAAGCCCTACATTCAGTTCCCAGTGCCCCCAAATTAATGAATCAATTTAAAAATTGACCATTTTTTCCAGCTCTTAATTTGTCTGGGTTTTTGTTTGTTTATTTGTTTGTTTGGTTGGTTTGGTTTGGCTTGTGTTGTTCCTGTTGTTTTGTTTTGGGTTTTGTTTTTGTTTTTCCAAGACAGGGTTTCTCTGTGTAGACCTGGCTGTCCTGGAACTCACTTTGCAGACCAGGCTGGTCTTGAACTCACAAAGATCAGCCTGCTAAAGGTGTGAGACACCACTGGCCAGCTTGTCGGTCTTTTCTAATCCTTGGAAAAGAGTGCCACCCCAAACTCCTGTTCATGTCCCGTTTATGAGCCATATATTAGAGTCTGCAGAATAACCTGTGCTGTACATTCAGCACTCAGGAGGGTGGGAACGGATTTTGAGTTAAGGCCAGCCTGGTAGTGTGTTGTGTGTGTGTGTGGGTGGTCCTGTTAAAAAAAAAAAAAAAACAACCTGCTCTAACACCTGTCTTTTCTTGGGCTTCAGAAGAAATCTGCGGGAAGGGCCCCCTGCAAACCTCTTCCATGGCAGCTACACTCTCCACTTGCCCACCAAGTCCAGACACCTCTACCTATCTTTACACTTGTAGGAATAACACATTCTGCCTGCGGGCCCCTGCCTCCGAGGTGCTGGTGTTACAGCTTGCATTACCACGCCCAGTGTTTGCTGTGCGGGCCTATCAAGCTATGACAGCACTCTACCCCCTGAGTCTCGCATCCATCCCAACCCACTAAAATACCAGGTTTTTTCCAAGGTTGTGCTCTCTCCAAAAAAGGAATACTATTTTTTTGTATGACTTCAAACACTGATAAACTTGTTGAACAAAATAGGTCAAAGGAATATTATGTTAGATATATGTCCAAGGTATTATTTTTGTTACATCATCCATTCCTGGAAGGAGGCCTGGAAGGAAAGCGAGCCTGAACGCCAGGTCTTTACTGTACCTACTACGCACTAGCCACACTTTTAGGACCTTGTCAGTGTAAACCGTTGATCAAAACTAAAATGTTCGTTTCCTGGAATCGCGGCTGGAACTCAAGTGATAGCGCGAGGAGGGGGGCGGTTGCTAGGCAACTAGAGAAGCAAACAACAGGCGTTCTTTGACTGAGACACCGAGCGTGAGCGAGCGGATAGACCAGGTGAGGGGATTCCGGTGGTGGGAGCCTCCTATGACCACCTCCTAACCCAGACCTTTGGCCGGTGTATTGATTGAAGCCCCAAAGGCGGAGCCTGAGTAGGGGAAGGGTCCTGCTGGGCACTAGACTCTGACCCCGGCTCCTCCTACCCGGCAGCCAACCCGCTCCTCCTCCGTACCAGGGCGGGGCAAGGGACCTGGTGCCCTCCCTACCCAGGTAGCTGGTTATACCATCCTGGAAAGGAAACAACACTTCTTCCCCCAGCTCCCCCGTGGGCCTGGCCCACAGCCTGGGAAAGAGTGATTGTTGGAAGTAGGGGGAAACAGGACTAGGGGTACGTTCTCTGCCATCCCTTCACTAGGCACACACACACACACACACACACACACACACACACACACACACACACACACACGCTCTCTTCTTTCCACGCCCCTGGATCTCCAGGCTCCAGGGCTGAAGATGGACCACCGAGGAAATACAGCTGATTGTTAATTCCTCACAGGAAGTTGAGCTGGGGACTGAATTGGAACGCTTCCCAGCAGACTTCGGGAAAGGGCTTAGCGCCAAAAGGACAGAATGGCACTTTGCTTTTCTTCTGCAGGTGGTGACCTGGAATAGGCCAAGGGTTTCAGACCCGCGGCTCCGTCCGTAGCCATGGCTACACTCAGCCTCAAACCCAGCCAGCGCTACCAGCTCTCGGACTGGCGCACCAATAGCTACCTGTTGTCCACCAATGCCGAGAGGCAGCGGGATGCTTCCCACCAGATCCGCCAGGAGGCCCGGGTCCTCCGCAATGAGACCAACAACCAGGTTGGGGGACCGCTCAACCCCATGGGCCATGGGATAGCCCTCAACCACAGACACCCATTTTATTTGGTTCTGTCTCTTCCAGACTGTATGGGACGAGCATGACAACAGGGTTCGCCTGGCAGAGAGGATCGATACTGTCAACCGGTGGAAGGAGATGCTGGACAAGTGTCTGACAGACTTAGATGCTGAGATCGACTCCTTGGCACAGGTGTCAACACCCGGGCTGGGTAGCAGTAGGCTCTGATGCGTAGGCCTGCCCCTCCCACCCCACTTCCGGGTCTGGGACGCCATGCTCGCCTCTGGCGAAGTGAGGATCGGAGCGATCTGGCAGTGCAGGGCTCCACCAGTCCCTGTGCCCTTCCTTTCTAGGTGAAAGAGTCTGCCGAGCAAAACCTGCAGGCCAAGAACCTGCCTCTGGATGTGGCCATCGAGTGCCTGACCCTGCGGGAGAGCCGGCGAGACATTGACGTCGTGAGGGACCCTGTGGAGGAAGAGCTGCTGAAGGAGGTGGAGGTCATTGAAGCCACCAAGAAGGCCCTGCAGCAGAGGGTCAGCCAGGCCTTCCAGCAGCTCTGGTGAGGCAGAGAAGGGCCTGCGCACGCTCACGTGCACTCGAGGCATCACCGGGTTGTGGGCAAGGAGCACCTGGCTGGATGCTGCTTTCTGTCCGTCCTGGCCTTGTGACAGAAAGCACTGGTGGTTTACCGCATGCTTTCCACGGCCTACTCCTCGTTAGGATGCTGCTCTAGGCAGCCACTGCTCCGTGGCTGAAAGCACCCTCTCAGTGCGTGCACGCACGCGATGCCACGTCCCAGCGCCTTGTGTCCGAGGTTCAGCGGCACCTGCGCTGTCATCCTCACACGCCACAACCCCTCAAGTACCCTCACTGCATCCGGGAGCCCCGGGGGATGGCTCCAAGGCAGTCTCCTTCCCCAGTCTCTTGCAGGAAGTCCGGCAGCAGCTCTGCTCTGACCACCGGGACAAAATGGAGTCACTGGATATCGACAGGGGCTGCCTCTCTCTCAACCTCACTTCCCCAAACATCTCTCTGAAGATTAACCCCACACGAGTCCCCAAAGAGTAAGAAGATTATGCCGGCCAGCCCCTCCTCTGCCCCTTGGAGGCTGCACCCTGCAACCCGTTGTCCCCTTGCTCCCACAGCTCCACCACGCTGAAGGAGTGGGATGACTTCAGCAGGTTCAACAAGAACCACGCAGACGCTGAAATAAAAGCGTCCATAGAGCTGAGAGAAGCCGTCGCCCTAACTATTGCTCAGGTGCCTGAGCCCAACGCGCCCTTTCTCTTTCCTTCCGCGCTGACCCTGTTAGTCCTTCACAAGGCCATGACCTCGCTCTTGTCACACAGACCAACAACGAACTTGAAGCTCAGCGGGTTGCAACGGAATTTGCCTTCAGGAAGCGGCAGCGGGAGATAGAGAGTGTGTACAGCGAGCTCAGGTGGCAAGAGAAAAATGTGAGTCTCACCCTGCCCTCCCTGCCTGCTGTGAGGCAAGGCTCAGGGGGTGTAAAGCTCACAGCTGGGGGCCCAAGTGTGAGTCTTGCTGGTGGAGAACAGTGTGTCTGCCACAGACCTTAGAGGAGATAGAGCAGCTGCAGGAGGACATCCGGCGCCTGGAGGAGGACCTGCGCAGAAAGATGATGAACTTGAAGCTTGCACATACCCGGCTGGAATCCAGGACCTACCGGCCCAATATTGAACTCTGCCGGGACCAGGTATGAGGGTCCCAAGTGGGAGCCGCCCTCTGCTAAGAAGTCCTCATAATTATCCCCGCACAGCTGAAGGGCAGTGTGGCCGGACTACAAATCCCACCCTGCCCCTCTGCTTCCAGACACAGCATGGCCTCATTGATGAACTCCACCAGTTGGAGGCAACCATCAGTACCTTGAAGCAGAAGCTGGCCCAGATTCAGTAGGTTTAGAGAGTGGGCAGGAAGGGTGGGAGACATTGCCCAATCATGGGACCTCACTGGCTGCTGGTCCCTCTGGGCTTTACGCTGGTGAAGTGGTCTGGCCCTTGAAGCCTCACACAGGGCTGTGAGCTCTCGATGCCTCCTCTACAGGGATGCTCTGGATGCCCTGTTCAAGCACCTGGCCCGGCTGCAGGCTGACATTGCGTGCAAGACCAACACCATGCTGTTGGACACCAAGTGTATGGATGCCCGACGCAAGCTGACCGTGCCGGCTGAGAAGTTTGTGCCCCAAGTGGACACCTTCACGCGCACGACAAACCGTACACTGAGTCCACTCAAAACCTGCCAGCTGGAGCTAGCCTAGCCTGGCTGACTGAGGGAAGAGAAAAGGGTGGGTGGGAAGTGAGGAGGGGCAGTGAACCTAATAAAGATGGAGTTCTCGGGTCAGGCTCTTCTCTGCTACCCATTAGGGTGTCATGAGACACTCCACTTGGGGGATGGAGTGGCCTAGGCTTCATAGGCGTCAAGAGTCCAAAGAGACTCCAGAAGAAGTGTGGACAGGGGTTTTCACCCGCGGGCAGCAGCGGCTTGAAGTAGGCAACCTTCTTGTTCAGGTTCTTTTCAAAGGGTCCTTCACGATGCTTTACGGAGCTATCAACCCGATTTGTGGCACCCTTTACAAATGAGAGAGTAACCGGGCGGTGGTGGCGCACGCCTTTAATCCCAGCACTCGGGAGGCAGAGGCAGGCTGATCTCTGTGAGTTCGAGGCTGGGCTGGACTGACAGCCTCCAAAACAATACAGAGAAACCCTGTCTCGTAAAAACCAAAAAAACAACAACAAAAAACAAATGAGAGAGTAGGGGGCGCCAAAGCCAAGCGTGCGGGGAGCGCGGAGCGCAGCGGCTCCGAGCCGCTGGGTGGCGCTGTAGGGGTGGGACGCTTGCTGAGACTCCAGGCCACGAGAGGGAGCTGTGGGGATGCGAGGAAGGATGACCGCGGAGGCGTCGGCATCGGAGCCGGAAGTGACGACAAGTCCTGCGCAGATGGCGGCGGCGGCGGCGATGACGGCGGCGGGCGGCGGCGGGGCTGGTACGGCCCGCTCTCTCTCGCGCTTCCGAGGCTGCCTAGCCGGCGCGCTGCTGGGAGACTGCGTGGGCGCCGTCTACGAGGCACACGACACCGTCAGCCTGGCGTCAGTCCTGTGTCACGTCCAGAGCCTGGAGCCGGACCCGGGCACGTCGGGCAGCGCGCGGACAGGTGGGCGGGGCGCCACCCGCGGGGTCCCCACACCTGGTCGAGGGACGAGTCGGAGGGTCCCCGCAAAAACTGCAACCTGAGTCTGGGTGCTGGCCCTAAATAGGGGAGTGGCAGCAGGCGACGGGTGGCTGATGGTTACCGTCTGATAAGGCAGGAGGGCAGTCACCTGGGCTGGGACAGAAGCAAGGTGGCTCCCTCAGGAAGATCAGGGCACAGTGAGCAAATGGAGAACATCGTTCCCCTCACCCACAGGGACGTGACTGGGGATAGCAGACCAGGACAAAGAGCCTGCCCCAGTGGACTGCCATGGCCTTGACCCGCTACCAGGCTGGGGGAGACTGGGAACATGGTTACTTCTATGAAGTTAGGATATAGAGGCCACCGGAGAAGAGGGGAAATGGAAGGAGTGAACTGTCTATTTGAAGGATGAGGGAGGCGCTCATCAGGAGAGTCCATTCTCTGTAATTGTCTTTTCTCTGAGTGAGTCCAAGTTGCTGTCCCCAGCAGGTTAGGAGCCTCTTGAGTGTGGCATGTTAGAAATGTCAGAACGCAACTGTGTAGGGTGTCACACACCTCTAATCCCGGTATTTACAGCAAGTTTGAGGTCAGCCTGGTCTACACAACTGGTCTACAGTTCTAAGCCAGACAGAACTACACAGTGAGACCCGTCTCAAAGACAAAACAAACAGGGCTGCAGAGATGTTGCAGCAGTCAAGAGCACTGGCTGCTCTTCCAAAGGACCCAGGTTCAATTCCCAGCACCCACATGGTGGCTCACAGCAATCTGGTAACTCCAGGCTCAGGGGATCCCACACCCTCTTCTGGCTTCCCTGGGCACCAGATGTACAAGTGGTACACAGACATACATGAAGGCAAGGATAGGCAAGTAGATTCTAGAATACCTGCAGTTAGGGGGAAAGGCGGTGGGGGATGGGGCAGCCCTTGCTGAAGGACTTGACCCAAGTGCAAGAGGACCAGTGAGATGGAAGGTGCCGAGGGAGAGGGGCCGAGCTGGGAAGGATTTGGATACCGAGCTGAGGCCTCTTCCTGAAGGCACCAGACAGCCGTTTTCATCGGAATGAAAGGAAGAGGGCAGCATCTTACTGAGGGATTTGGCGGCGCTGGGATTGAGAAGCGGTGGAGCCCGAGCGGGCCGTACTGAGATAATTAGTAGTGAAGGGAGAAGGGAGCGGAAGGTTCCCCTCAGAAATCTGCAGGTCTTGACCGCTGTGTCCGAGGCGGTTGCTGAAGACTAAAATCTGAACAACCCGAGCCTGCAGGAGGAAGGGGAGAGAGGCCCAGCGGGGTCATGAGGAGTGAGTGGGCATCGGGCCTGAGCCCTGTGGGTTGCTCTCACCCCACCACCCTCTTTCCTGCAGAGACACTGTACTACACGGATGACACCGCCATGTCCAGGGCCCTGGTGCAGTCCCTGCTGGCCAAAGAGGCCTTCGACGAGGTAGACATGGCTCACAGGTAAGGGATGTAACACTGGCATGAGGTCCCTCAAGAGAGACGTAACACCTGTGCATACTCAGTACCCCCTTTCTCAAGGCTGACAGCAGCTCCCCAGCCAAAAATTGCAATGCTGTTGGTACAGGCGCCCCAGGCACCTAGCCTCCCCTTTCAACCCAGCCCAGACTTTTCTTCTAGCCGAGAGAGACATCTTTGAGACTCTCGTCTGCCTTCTCTCTCTTCACCAGGTTTGCACAAGAATACAAGAAGGACCCTGACAGAGGGTATGGGGCTGGAGTCATCACTGTCTTCAAGAAGCTCCTGAGCCCCAAGTGCCGTGACGTCTATGAGCCTGCCCGGGCCCAGTTCAATGGAAAAGGCTCCTATGGCAATGGGGGTGCCATGCGGGTAGCAGGCATCCCCCTGGCCTATAGCAGTGTCACAGATGTACAGAAGGTACTGGGCAGGCTGGTCACAGGTGCCCCTTTCCCTCCTGATCTGTAGAGACGTGACAGTGACTCCTCCTCTCCGCAGTTTGCACGGCTCTCAGCCCAGCTGACCCATGCCTCCTCCTTGGGTTACAACGGGGCCATCCTGCAGGCGCTGGCTGTGCACCTAGCTCTGCAGGGTGTGTCATCCAGTGAGCACTTCCTTGAGCAGCTTGTGGGCCACATGGAGGAGCTGGAAGGTGATGCCCAGTCGGTCCTGGATGCCAAAGAGTGAGTATGGGCTGGAGCCAGGGGTGGGGTGGGGCGTCTGGCGCTGCTGCACAGCTAACTCTTCCTGTCTTCACTGGGAACCGTATGGAGTGGGAGAAAGAGTCCCCTTTGCCTCAGTGGATTTCTGGCCCTCAGTGTCCCAGAGAACAAAACGTTTCTGGCCCTCTCCCAACACTGTTAAGGCGTGTGCACCTGGGTGGGACCTGATGCCCCTGATTCCTCTTCTGAGTCCCTTCCCCTGTGTGTCTGCCTGCTCACTCTGACCTCTGAAATCGCTTCCCAAACCCCAGGTTGGGTATGGAGGAGCGTCCATACTCCAGCAGGCTGAAGAAGGTTGGAGAGCTGCTGGACCAGGACGTGGTGAGCCGAGAGGAAGTGGTGTCTGAGCTAGGTGGGTGGCCCCTGGCTAATGTGTACCCCAGCTGACCTCAGAGAGGCTGCGGGACAGCTAGAGCTCCTCGTTGCAGGGCCCTGGCAGGCCTGTGACCATGGTGCCTGCAGCCTGAAGGATGGAGTCCCCAGAAAGGGCCAGTGTGATTACGGGTGTTGGTTTACCTGGTGCCATGGGCACGTGAGGAGTGCTTCAGTGACCCGCTCTCAACAGCTCTGGAAGGGAGCAGGAGTCAAAGCCAAGAACAAGACTAAGTGGGACCGTGCCTTGTGTGGTCCGGGTGTAGAGCCTGGCATCTCAGGCATGGCCCTGCACAGAGCTGGGAGTGCTGGCTCTTGACAAACGGCAGGAAGCCTGTGGCAGGGAGGGAAGTCAGGTTCCTAAGCCCAGCTTTCCCGCAGGGAATGGCATCGCCGCCTTCGAGTCTGTGCCCACCGCCATCTACTGCTTCCTGCGCTGCATGGAGCCTGACCCTGACATCCCTTCCGGCTTCAACAGCCTCCAGAGGACCCTCATCTACTCCATCTCTCTTGGTGGAGACACAGACACCATAGCCACCATGGCTGGGGCCATTGCTGGAGCTTACTATGGGATGGAGCAGGTACCAGAGAGCTGGCAGCAAAGCTGTGAGGGTTATGAGGAGACAGACGTCCTGGCCCAGAGCCTGCATCGAGTCTTCCAAGAGAGAGTGTGAGCTTCAGTTTCAGCAGTCCTGTCAGGCCCCTCAGGACCAAGGACAACTCAGACTGCAACCAGAGTCTTCTGAAGCTGGCTTTCCTGCCCCAGCATTCCCGAGGGCAGGCTGAGGGCACCCTTGGGGCTGGAGTCTTAGGCCAGTCTGTGGAACAGTGAGGAGCTGGTGCCTTCTTGGAGTGGCAGCTCTGGCTTGCTGCAGGGCTGTGTGACACCTGGGGTCCTCAGAAATATGAGGGGTCAGGGCAGTTTGATTTTGGAGGGGTATTGTGGCATTCTTTCCATCTAGGACATGGGACTTGTTAAGGTGGAAATGACCTGTGTTTCCTGTTGGGTTTTAACCAATGTGACTGGAAGCCTCAGGTCACATGACTCTTGAGACTGACATCTACACCCAGTCCATTCATTGCCAACTGGCCTAGCCCCCTCTGGAATGGGGCTCTTTGACAGCTTCTAGTGGAAGTCACAGCAATAAATGTTTTTTATAAATCCCAGCATATCCTGTTTGTTCCCACTGGTGGATTGTCTTAAGTAGTGACTCCTTGCCTGGACTGTATTTTTCTAGTCCTGGGACCCCAAGGCAGTAGCTTTTGTGTTGTGGGGCAGTCTTCTACTTCCTACTGGGAGGAGCAGAGTAGGCCAGATCAGTGACTTTTCTTACTAGAGGTCATACAGTGCTGTCAAGGCATCTAGACAAATGCTTTGCTTGAGACATTGAATAGAAACAGGCCAATTGTTCTGACCTGGCTGAGCCAAGAGCATAGTCCCTGTAGAATGGTGCAGAGCACCCACCTTTGATGGAGTGGGGTGTCACCCCAGGTGTCCCCGTGGACTGTATTGTATGCCTCCTGTATCTTGGGGTGCAGGCTGAAGGCCTTGGCTTGCAAGGAAGTTTTGTACAGATGGGAGTGAGGTGCATGCATTTAATCCCAGCACTCAGGAGGCAGAAGCCAGTGAATCTCTGAGTTCAAGGTCAGCCTGGTCTATGTAGTGAGTTCTAGGAAAGCCAGGTCTACAGAGTGAGTTCCAGGACAGCCTCCAAAACAATACAGAGAAACCCTGTCCTGGAAAACCAAAAAGAAAAAAGAAAAAAAGAAAAGAAAAGACACCTTCCCGCAAACCATGAGAATGATCTCAGGTCCTTCCAGATTCAGTGACGGGACAAGCATGCGCAGCTAGCTCAGTAGTTGGCCTGGGGCTTCAGGAACATCAGGCAGCTGGCTTCCAGCCAAGATGAGGTTCTATCAGGGTAGGCCGATGGCAGGGCATGACTCTTATCATGCCCACTCTCCCAGATCCCCTGAGCCAAGGGCACGAGCATGCTGTTACAGGGCATGGCAAGCTATGAACAGGTGCTTTCTGGGCAGGACAACTCCCCCTACCCTGTCCTCAGCCCTGGGCTCCACCCTCAGGACCATAGATTCACAGTTTCACTCATAATTTGTATCAGATGTTGTAACTTGGCCCTTGGGATCCTGAGCCAACTATCATGCCCCACTGCTCCTGAGAGCTTGTTGGAATGTTCCAGCGAAGTTCAGTCCGGCTCCAGCCACTGCCCTGCTTTGGTTTCACAGAATGGCTCCAAGTTTGCCTGGTGGTGCTGAGGCAGCAGGGAGGAAGGAGTGACTAAGGCCTGAGTGGGAAGCCGAACTCCTCAAGAGGCCTGAGGAGTGCCTGGATGCCCATGAGATATCTCTGTATTGAGGCCAGTGTGGCTGCTGTGTTTCTACAATAGGTTTTATTGGGCGTAGTCAATACAGTCAATACTGTAGTTTTCTTTTCAAAAAGAAATCCCATTTTCCTGATTCCCCAGAGCATTTTCCCTGAACCTGACATGGGGGCACATGATAAGTAGAGAGAAACTTCCTACACCAGGTTAAAAATGTAGTCACTAGTGGAAAAACCTTAATCTTAAAAAAAATTATTAAAAGAGCCAGAATACAAAAATGCACAAGGTAAGTGTAGTTGTCATAGTTAAAACCTGATAATGTTTGTCAAAATTGGTCAGTGACACCTACAGCTCCAATCCACAAACATTTCAAAATCGCCAGTCCTTCCCTAAAGGCTTCAGGGTGGTGGAGTCTGGCGGCTCTGCTCCGGTATAGCTTTTTGGGCTCCCTGGTACCTTATTCAACCCCCAGGGCTTCCTCTGAGAGCTGATTAGAACCCATCCCTAACATCAGATTAGTGGCTTCCACCCAGGAAAGGAGGAGGCTGAGCAAAAAGCCCTACAGGATGCTGAGACACTAGCTGGTTCTCTTGGGTGTAGCAGAAAAGCCGGCTGAGCTCCCTCTCGCTGTCACACGCGGGCTGCCCCCTGGGGGCTGAAGGAAGCTTCACCTAGGCTGCTATGCAGAGGAGGAGGCCCATCTGCCCAGGCAGGTGGATGGGCCCATACTGGAGCTCGAGAAGGGTTGCCTATGGAATGTCCCAGTTTCACAGTTGGCACGTTGACGTGGGCTGACTAGGTGAGGACTGAGGAAGGTCTTGGACCACAGAGAAAGCAGCCATCCTTACACAGGCAGGAGTATCTACCACCCCTGCCCCCAGCACTGATCCCAGCCTGAGCTGGCCAAGGGGCTGGGAAGCAAGCGCACCTGTCTCCTTGCAGGAGAGGGTGTGGGGGCCTCCAGAGCCAGCTCATTCCAGTGGGGCCTGCGGGCATCCCTTCAGAGCCTCGGTCTCCTGGGCCCTACACTGCTTAGAACAGGAAATTGGAAGCAGAGAGCCAAGAGAGAGGAAGCACCCACAGATGAGCCCCTCCAGTAGACACTAAATATCCACAGCGTGGTTCTTACTAAGGAGAAACAGAAGTCTTTACCCACAACCTTGTGTGCCTCTGTGCAGAGGGCCCAGACAGAAGCACTCTGCTTGAAGACACTTAGTTTGGGGTTGGCAAGGGTCCCCTAACAGTGGGCTAGTGAGAAGATGAGCCCACCCCCAGCAGGTGAGAGGAGAGAGGGAGGGGCACTCATGTTTGCCGACCAGCAGTCCTGGTTGGCTCTGCAGTATGTAGAGACATTACAGAGTTCCATCTCAGCCCAGGGCTGTCCACCCTCATGCTGAAAAGCCAGAGTCAATGGGGAGATCCAGGGACATAGAAGAGCTACCAGCCTGCCTCAGAATCCACACCTCTGATGCCTCCCAGGTCCCCACAGACAGCTGCTTCTGGAGTCTTTCAGGGGCCAGTAGCAAGGGCCACACAGCTGTCCCCACCAGGACTGGCCTGAGTCCACAGCATGAGTCCAGGGGTCTAGCCACACTGACCACCTCCATGGTCCCCATTCCCTTCTTCCTTTACCCCAAAAGGAAACAAAAACCTCAGGGAACCTCATATCATATGCTGGAGGCCCCTGGGGGGCTGGAAGAGGCCCTGCAAACACAGGAAGCGCCCCTAGCCCCTTCCATGCCATCTACGGCCAACAGGAAAACCAACTCTCCCAGCAGCTTCCAGGACTCACGAGGGGGCCAGGTTGAGTGCTCTGGGGTGCTGCCTGCAGACCAGGCAGGTCCAGAAGAGGGAACAACCCCCACAGTGCACCGGGGGAAAGGAAATTAGGCCAACCTCTTCCAGAAACGACTTCAGCCTACACACGGGGAAAACAGGTCAGTCTCCTCCAGCCAAGGCCACCGCCGCCTCTGTTCAGCTTTTTGTCGTTTCCTTCAAATGGAGATCTCTGTAACCGGAAAGGTCTCGCTATCACTAAAGAGGAGGCCAGGGCAGCAGGGTCCCCCACGGGTTATGTGGGACAGAGCAAGAATCCTGAGAAGGAGGAGTGGATGTACTCGGTGGAATAGAGGCCGTTGGCCTGGTCTGAGGGCATCTGCACCCACACCTGGTCGTTGGGCCGCAGCTGGAGCACAGCCCCTCCAGACGCCTGGTCCAAATAGCCCTTCTTGTACTCATCGTAGGTGTAGGTGGCTGGCACGTTGTTCTTGTACAAGGCCACCCACACATTGGTGCCCTTGACATGCACATGGTAAGCAAAGTAGTAGACGCCTCCCACGGGACAGGTGAAGATGCCCGTGGCTGGGTTGTAGCCGCTGTGGCCATTGTAGAGGGTCCGGTCAAACCTAACTGGCATGCCTGAGGCAGGGAAGGGGGAGGTGAGCACAGCGGTGAAGGCGGGCGTGGCCGGTGCCGACAGCTCCCCCAGTCCAAACTGTGGCTTCCCTCCCTTGCCCAGCACAGCCCCCTCCACTCCACCACTGGGCAGATGCAGCCCTGCAATACCAGTCTCATCGAAGGCCCCGGGGGCACCAGGAGGCCCAGGCGGCCCAGGGGGTCCGGGAGGACCTGTGAGTCCTGGGGAACCAGGAACTCCAGGGGGTCCTGTGGGCCCAGCAGAGCCAGGTTCCCCCACTTTACCCTCTCCGGGCGGCCCTGGAAGGCCTGGCTCACCCTTCAGGCCTGGCAGACCCTGGGGCCCAATAGGGCCAGCTGGGCCCTGGAGACCTGGAATTCCAGATGGGCCCCTCAAGCCAGGCTGTCCAGGAAGCCCCAAGTCACCTTTCTGTCCTAGGGCTCCCGCCACCCCTGGTCCTCCGGGGCGACCTGTAAAACCTGGCTCACCCTTGGGCCCAGTTGGTCCAGGGGGCCCATGGGCTCCGGGAAGTCCTCTCTCACCAGGGAGTCCAGGCTTCCCTGCCAGACCATTAGGCCCTTGGTCACCCCGAATGCCAGGCACTCCTGGAGGACCTCCAGGTCCCACTTCTCCCTTGGGCCCAGGGGGCCCACGCCTACCAGGAAGCCCTGCAGACCCAGGAAGGCCAGGTGGACCCCCGAGGCCCTGTGGGCCCTGTTCCCCTGGCTCCCCATCCTCTCCTGGCTCACCTCTGTCCCCCAAGAGCCCTGGAGCCCCAGCTGGACCCCTGTCTCCCTTAGGTCCTGGTTTTCCAGGCATCCCATAGCCAATAGGGCCTATCAGACCAGGGGGGCCCCGGAGACCTGGCTCCCCTTTAGCTCCTGCTGGGCCCTGTGGCCCTGGTACCCCTGTTGCCCCTGGCACCCCCACACCATCTACCCCTGGAGGGCCCTTTGGACCTACAACTCCTGGCTCTCCCCTAGAGCCTGGAACCCCAGGGGGCCCAGAATCACCTTTGTCTCCTGGGGCTCCTGGTAACCCATCCAAACCTGGTTTGCCCAAACCAACAGGACCAGGCAACCCAGGGGGTCCAGGAGCACCTGCCTGCCCGGGGGCCCCAGGAAGCCCTGGTTGGCCCACTCCATTATCCCCCTTGAGGCCCCTATCTCCTTGGGGTCCAGGCTCTCCCTGGGGTCCTGGCTCCCCCCTAAATCCTGGAGGCCCTGGTACCCCCTGGGCACCTGGTTTTCCAGGGACAGTAATGCCTGAAGGGCCAGGAAGGCCAGGGGGCCCTGGGGGCCCCCGGAGGCCCTGGTCCCCTCGTATCCCTGGCTCTCCCCGCAGCCCTGGCTGTCCTGGTGGTCCAGCCTTGCCTGGGAGCCCTGGGGGACCAGCCTTGCCCATCCGGG